AGTTGGTGCCACCAGCCTTGATGGGGAAGGGGCCCTGGGGCTTGGGAGGGAGGGCGAGGCCGAAGAGGGGGATGCTGTACTCCCCCCCAAGCAGCGAGGAGAGCTGCAGCGTGGCCCTGGCTTCACCCAGCTGGCAGGGCTCGTAGGTCACCTCCACGCTGACCTCTGAGCCCCCCGGGCTGGCGGGAGCCACACTGATGGTTTTCTCCGTCTGAAAGTCGGCACAGTTGGTCTGCACAGGGGAGAGAAGAGACCGTGGTGGGGGTGGGTCACAAAAGCAGAGACAGCACCTCAGAAAAAAGACGATGGTCCCCTGCCATCATGTTGACTGGGGTCCCCTTCCCTTGCCTGTCACTGCACCTGTCCGACCACACTATACCCCTGGTGAATGCCCACTATGAATGGCCACAAGGAGTGTCCAAACATGCCAAGCAGGAACAACCCTGCACCCAAACCCCAAGAGACCTCACTGCCGGAGCTGGGCTTTAAGGCGGACGTCCAGGCACCATGGAACCTGCAAAAGCAACTCCAACAAAGGCAGCAGAGAGGGGTCTGCAAGTGAGGACAGTCCAGCTGGGGACAAGCCCAGCACTGGTAGGAAGACCCCCGGGCTCACATGGCCACCCTGGCTATGCCAGGCCAAGCTAGAGGGGCAGGATCCCTCAACAAAGAGGGCTGAGGCTGGCCAGATGAGCTGCCTCCCAGCAAGAGCCCAGGGCAGACTGGTGTCACCTGGAGGAGGTAGTCCGTCTTCTGCCGGCTGTAATTCATGAATTTGGTGGTGATGGTCTGACTAGAACCCAGTGTTGTGCAGAAGTGGAGAGGCTTCTCCAGTCTGTTCATGGTGGCTTTCAGGTGCAGGCTGTAGTAGAAAGAGCCCAAGTCGCTGCTCTGGAGCACCAGGCGCCCGGTGCTCTCACCCATTTTCAGTGGCTGGTACTCAAAGACAAGATCGGCCTGGGAGGAACAAAGGGAAAAGCCACTGGGTCAGGCAGAGACAGGGAAGGCAGGGCCCAAGATGGGGAAAATTGGTCCCTTGTGTGCTCATACAGTGCTGGGAAGACAGCCCAGCACCCTCACTTCAACTCCTTCTCTCTGGGTCAGAGCCCTGCTGCATGTGGGGGACAGTTCACTTGGGGGACCATCCCCAACAGGTGAGAGCCCTCCAGCACTATCCCTGAAGCTTCCCACCCTAAAATGCCCCTACACTCCCCCAGGCCACACACCACCTCTTATCAGTCTAGGCTGCAAATACCCTGCCAGGTGGCGTGAGGCATGCCCTGCAGCTACTCTAAACTGAAAATACCCACACTAAATAAGGAGCATGTGGCACAAGAACCTGCCACATGAGGCCCGATGGGAGCATATCACAAGGGGTAGCATGGCAGACTCAACCAGTGCAGGGCAATTCCCACTAGGTATATTCTCCCACACTGCTTCCCCTCCAGATTATCAGCAGGTGGGAGCTGTCAACCTTGGAAAGCAGCCCCAGATGGTTCATGTAGGGCATCACCCTCCCCTGCTCCCCGAAAGACTGCAGGGAGAGGAGAGCATACTGGCTGAGCTTTGCTCTTACCTCTGACTGCGCAGGAACAGTGAAATGTGGGGGAACATTGACGTCGGGCACTTTGCAATCTATGGTGAATGTCACCGGGACAGGCAGAGGGTTGTCCACCTTGACGGTGGAAGACACTCTCTGCCGAACAGCAGTGGTCACTTCAACAGTGCTGATGGGTCCTGAAGCAGTGGCCTTGAAAGTCACCATGTAGAACAAGTACTCCTCAGTCACCTCGTTGAGGAAGGTTACCTGAATCAGAGAAAAAGGGAAGTGCTGATCATTCTGCACATAAAAATATACCAGCTGTCCTAAGCCAGGTCAAGGAGCCCCATAAGCTCAGCACCCTACTTCCAAGAATGGCCATAAGCAGCCACCTAGGAAAAGTGCAAGACTGGGGAAAGCATGTGTGGTATTTCCATTTCATAGTCTCCTGACTGCCCATTGCTTCCAGCTCACCAATGTCCTGACCCACCTGTGTTTAGCAGCCCCCAGTGGGGCCCTCACAGAGAGACTGACACATGAGTGGGCTGTGTGGAGAGGTGCCTGCTGTTCAGCACCCACCTAGGACACCTACAGTCCCACCAGTGGGCACGTGGAGGTACAAGAACAGGTGTGTGTTAGCTCAGTGAGCGAACACTGAGCTCCTTGAAGGGCCCCACAGCCTGGTGTCCACACTTACCACTGTGTTAAAGACTCCTTCCTTGTAGGAGAGGAACGTGAGCTTGTAGTCCTTCTTGGCAGAGCCTGGCACATCAATGTATTCCAGCCCCTGCAGCACAGAACTGCTTTCCAGGTTTTCTGGTTTGAGTATGTCCACTACCACAAGGAACCTGTGGGTGAGAAGGGTGCAGTGAAGGTAAACAGGAAGGACTCCCATAGGATACCCATCATGTGGGGGTACAACACAGCCCCTCTCATCCTCAATGCCTCAGGCAGAGGGAGCCAGCTCTCATCCACCTTGGAGGAAAGCCCTCCAGGATTGCTCTGCATAGGCAGAACATGGGTAGTGTGATCCCAGACACCTATGGCCAGAAATGGCCAAGGAGAGTTTAAAGCTTGCAGGAAGGAGCTTCCAGGCAGTGGGTTGCTGATGGGATGAGACTTCCTGGGCCAGACTCACCTTTGTGGTCTGTTCAGCCAGTTGGAGACGGGGATGAGCTCAGTGTAGGAAGTCCTACACGGTACCTGCCGGAAAATGGTCCCTGAGCACTTTGGGGCCTCAGCAGTCCCTTGCAGGAGGTAGTACAAGCCTGTCCCATCCGGCAATGGGAAGAAGATGGAGCCCTAGAAGACAAGTAATAGGATAAGTGAGCTCTCCTGCTCTCTGTCTGGACCAGTTACTGGCTCTCAAGCACACCTGGACAGTCCCATATCTCAGGCTGTCTCACCTGAGCAGCTTTGAGCAGGTCCAGCTGGCAGAGCTGTGACCACAGCCCTGTGTCCTGCATAGGTGGAGATGGCAATGTTGTACCTGCTTGGGCTGGCACAGCCACAGGACACAGAGGCAGCATGTCTGAGCAAAGCAAGGAAACACCAGCCCTACAGCAGAGCTGGTCTGACCTTCCTAACACCCCTTTGCCTTACTAACTTGCTGTCTTGGTTTCGGCTGGGATAGAGTTAATTTTCTTCCTAGTAGCAGACATAGTGCTGTGTTTTGGACTTAGTAGGAGAAGAATGTTGATAACACACTGATGTTTTTAGTTGTTGCTGAGTACTGCTTATACTAGTCAAGGACTTTTCAGCTTCCCATGCTCTGCCAGGTACACAAGAAACTGGGAGGGGGCACAGCCAGAATAGTTGATCCAAACTGACCAAAGGGCTATTCCATACCATATGACGTCATGCTCAGTATAGGAACTGGGGGGGGTTGGCCGGGGAGCAGCGATCGCTGCTCGGGAACTGTCTGGGTATCAGTCGGCGGGTGGTGAGCAATTGCATTGTGCATCACTTGCTTTGTATATCATTATTATTATTATCATTATTATACTGTTACTATTATCATTACTATTTTACTTTATTTCAATGATTAAACTGTTCTTATCTCAACCCAAGAGCGTTTCTCACTCTTACTCCTCCGATTCTCTCCCCCATCCCATCGGGGTAGGGGGAGTGAGTGAGCGGCTGTGTGGGGCTTAGTCGCCGGGTTGAGCCAAAA